TATATATATATCATGAGTTTTATAACATCACAAAAATTTTACTTGTTAAACTTGTTTCATAAAATAACTATTGCAATTTAGGTTTATCACTAACGTTGAAATATTAATTAACATTTTTTTTACTCAATTAAATTTTATAGTTTAGTACAGTTTAGTCTATAAAATAAGAAACCGTGTATATACATATTACCCAACAAATTTGTAATTTCATTCTTTGTTGCCGAACTTTCAAAATTGATAATTTTGATTAACTTTTAAAATTATTTATAATTGTTTTATATAAATTCATCAGTAGTGATGGCAAAAAGAAAACTTATGAATTAACTAGCAATTTTATACATATTCAAAAAAAAATTTATTTAAATCATTTTATAAAAACTATTGTTAACTTTAAAAGTTGAACTTATTAATAAGTAAATATCATTTTATAAGTCAAAAATTTAGAGTTTAAGTTTTAGAATTAATATTTTAAAAAAATTAATCTCTTTAAATATGTTAAACTGACGTAAGAGTGCATACTTTTATGTGCAAAAATTAATTTTAAGACAGTTTGACTTTAAATACCAAAAATATGATAAAAAAAAAAGAAGAAGCTATTGTTAGGCTAAATAGTCTCCATCACAGTACATTTTGCTAGCTTTACGTCTTTGTTTTCTAAATCTCTCTGTATTATTCTAGATTTGAACTAAAACCTCTAAAGATACATAACACAATGCTCATTTTCACTACCATTGCCACTTCTTATGGCATCCATTTTCTTTTACCTATAGTCATTAACATGAAAGAACAGATTAAAACTACCATGGAAGTCTCAAGGAAATGTGTTCATATGGCTAAGAGCTTGATATCCAAGTTAAAAATTTCATATTTGAATTATTAAAGCCAATGAAGAGGGATTATAAGAAAAGTGACTTGATCGGTCGACCCATTAACACCCCAATTATTAATGATTTTTTAACTCTTCAAAAGGCTAGGAGCAGGAGATCAGTTAATTTGGATGTTGGGCTTTAAATTCTTGTTGCCCACCTATTGTTGGAGTCTGTGGGGTTATTGGAATTGGGCCTCAGGGTTATAATTAGGGTCCTAGTTCTTCTCCCTTCTAACGGTCAAAAAACCAATGGTTATTTACAGTCATAAGGCCGAATCTGAGGCTATTATAATAGGGCCGTTGGTTAGATTAATTGCCTTATTTCTGTTGGTTAACCGCTTTTGACAGCTATTTTAAAAGGTCTTTTATTGGCTTAAACCCAATTTCGTAATTTCTCTCAAAATTTTGGGAGAGTTTGGTGTTTTACTATTTAAATTATATCATATTATAAAACAATAATGATTAGATGAAGTGTTCTCTTCCAATATCAAGCACCCTCTCAATTTAATAATTAATATTTTATAATTTAGTAAAATTTAATTTACGA